AACCGGGACAAGGATAGAATTGCCCCACACAAAATAAGGTAGCCAGAACAATTACATAAAACAACCATTGAAACCAGTGACAAAAAGTCACTGGCCTGTCTGATGGTTGGATGCAAACAGGCACTCCCAGTTTTGAACTAGAAAGTTTGGAAGTAGAGAAAATGTTCTTTCTAGAGAACACTCTTCATTTCTCTGTATTTTCCATCCCCTGAGATTATTTTCTAGAGCCAGAGGGGTCACCTCACCATAAGCACTCTCAAGTTTTTTGAAAATTAGTGAATTTTACACTTCTTTCCCTTCCACAATGTGGTATACTTTTTAAAGGAATTCTTGGGATAGTTGCACAATAAAATCCCAGCCTAGCCAGAATGGGAGAGAGCACATTCAAGAGGCTGAGAAGGCTAAGAGGATCAGGTAACTCCGCTGAGACAAAAAGTCTGCCTGCAGCTAACCTGTGCTTTTTTTTTTTTTTTTTTTTTTTTTTAAATGGATTTCTAAGCCCAGTCAAGAACCAGAGAGATCACAATTATGGAGAGTATAGCTTCCCACAATAAGAAGCATGCAAATTATTTCTATCCAACCTTATAAACATAAACACGCATCCTGTGTGTCTCTGTAAACTTCTTTTTTACTATGTACAGATTTTTCAGTCATAGTACATATGGAATAAATCTAACTAAACTGATTAGAATTAGTAATCAGTTATGCTGATTAAAATCAGCTCATAAGCTAGTAAAACTTTTTAAAGGGCAATAGACCTGTGCTGGGCACAGAATGTGGCAAGTAGAGGTATTCATTAGCACCAACCATTAGAGAGTCTTACCGCTTCTGCTTTAGAAGCATCTAAACCAGAACGTTCTGCATCAGTCTATTAACTTCATATACTGCCACTAAACTGTGGATTATCCAGTGTCTCCTAATAAGAAAGTTTCATATCTGCTTTGTTTAACACTACAGTAAGTTCCCTGTTAACTGATTTCCTACTTACTCTGCCGTCAACAGTCCTGGATAAAAATTAAATGTTCCCATTTTAAAGTTTGCTGTCAACAGCCTGAAAATAAGTTTTTGACATGGCAGAATCTGCCTGCTCACTGGAAGTTTACATCAATCTACAGTCCTGCCTACAAACCTACACAAACTTCTAGAAATATTAGTTCTTTTCACAGCTGCCAGGGCACTAATTCTGCAGCTAGCAAATCATACAGTTACAAGCCCACTCTAAGGTAATTTAGCAAGATTCACAAGATCTCATTTCTTCTGGATTGTTGTTACCTAATGCCATACAAAAGAAACAGAATTCAAGCATCACATAAATATGATCTATGACTATTAAATGCTTGCACTTTAAATAAACCATGCTATCTATAGGAAATGTTGATGTTTCCTACTAACTCTCTCTTATGCAAAGAACCTTCCTTTATGATACAGAAACCTATCAGTAAAATTAGTCATATTGTCTTGGGCATTACTGCCCAAGGAAAAACCAGTAATACAGCTAGTTATCACAATTTATTTGTACATCACTGTGTGCGCCATGTCCCTGAATTCCATTTGATATTTAGGTAAAGGAGAACAAAACATATATTCCCTTTAATTTCTTATTTGACAAAAGCAAACAGATTGTGGCCTAGAGATGTATATATACATTTATAGACGTCTCTGTGTACTCTAACTGTTTTGTTAAATGTTACACTACTTTGCCTAGCAGTCAGATTTTATTCCTGGTCTGAGAGGACTTTAAGCATTAGTAAAATACATAGAATCTTAATTAGCATCTTTTTCTAAAATGCTGAAATACAGAATCTCTTCATTACAAATAAAATATTAAGTAAGGAAACGAAATACAACTGAGTTGAAATTTTAAAAGCAATGCTACAGAAATATTGTTGAAGTATCTAAACCTTTAGACACATCCATTGAACTTGGAAAATATTTTTGATGCTCTCTTGACACACCATACAGTGCTGCAATACAGGGACTGTCCTAAAACATACACTCATTAGAAGACACAAAAATTATCAGGTGTGTAAACATGTCATTTGCCAGAGTAAAAATTGTGGCAGTCATGAAAATACAGAAGGTTTTACAAGCTTCAGCTTGAAACCATTTCAAACTATTTTCATTGCCATAATGATCTTTCATATTAAAAGCTGTACACCTTCTTCCAATGTTTATTTTGTTCACTTCATTTAAGTCCATGGTTTCACTAATCTGTTTTGAAGCTGAGCTCCCTAAAATTAGGGGGAGGGAGGTGATGAATCACAGCAAATGTTTATATTTCCTTCCAGAATATATGACTGAACCAGCTTGAATACTTCATGAATAAGATTGTGAAGATCATAACAGACAAATACAAAATCTGTTTTTAAAATCTATAACATATTTTGTAGCAATTAAAATAGTTGACCACATCAACATTTTAACCTAAAGAACCATTAGGAATACGTGCAATTTCTCATGAATATTTTTGAGCTTTCTACAGAAAAATCCTCTTCGAGCAATTCTTGGCATCTCCTAATTATCAATTTGCAGTTTATTAGTCAGCAGATTTTTCCATCATTACTTAAATAAGGATAAGATGGGAAGCAAATCTCCTAATTATCAATTTGCAGTTTATTAGTCAGCAGATTTTTCCATCATTACTTAAATAAGGATAAGATGGGTAGCAAAACTTCTAGTTTCAAAATCTCTTACCTCCCCCAGTGTAATCATGTACCATTACCCTTCATACATACAGCAAGGGTTATTCAATTCTATTGCAATTTGTCTTTAATAAAAACCAAAGATTTCTCCAGAATTACTGAAATAGTTCATATACTGGACAATGGGTTGTTTCAGGGCCCAAAGAATAGAACAGCTGAAAATTATGAGCTGAATTAATTTTTCTACATGTACATCCATAGTGAGAAGATGGCTTGTGTTACTGAATTCTGCATGCTTGAATATCGGAACTTACAGTTACAGGTCCTTTTATCTACACCAAGGAGTCACCTATCTTTTATTTCTTTTATAAAATCAAGATCTCTGAAAACAGGAAACTTTGACTGGATCCAAGATATTTGATTTCATGTGTGTAGGTCAAATGGCTGTGTGTTCTCTCTGCTGAAACAGAGTAATGTAATTTCAGGCTGTATAATTTTATAGCAAAGACTGCAAGATGTTTTGAAGATGTCATTGACCGTAATACAAATCAATATGAAATTATCTGTACAGGAAACAGTTGCAAAAAATGGTCCATCAAGCTTTCTCATAGGATCATGGATTTCTAGGATCATACTCTAATAACTACAGTAAGCTATTACAGTTTATCTCCCTCTTCAATTATTTACAGGTCAAAAAGCAAAGTGACATTGCTTTATATACAATCAATGTTATGTACTTGGTTCATAACTTATTATTTCTGAATAAAGGCATTTTTTCATTTTAGAATATTTATATAGTCATACAGTTAAGTGATGCAAAAGGCCGTCCTTTAGGCACTCTACCTTTCTTTAAAATAATGCATTAAAAATATATATCTAAACAGTACTGAAGTGATTACTCTGGAGCATAATCTTTAACTGTCTACAGACTGTACTATTTAGCCTGATGTCAATTACACATTTAAAGAGACTAGTCATTTCAAATCATCTAAAGACCTTCATCGTATTTCTATCAATTTCTGTATATGTGAAAGCACATTTCAAAGCCTCCTCATTGCTGACTTGTAAAATGTCTCATGACTGTCAAACGGAATTTATTTTTCAGCCAAGCAGTATAAATTACATTTTACAATATAGTAACACAGAACATAATAAAAAGAAGAGCCTATCAAGTGTGCAGATGAAGGGAAGGGAATTCTTGTCCTGTCATTGCCACACAGGCAGGACACTTCAATAGAAAAAGAAAAAAAGAAAAATAAGAAAAAAAAAAACCACACCACCATTATAACCTCTAAAAAAAGTTCACACATTGAAGCCTCATATGGGTCTGTTTTGATTTGTGAGGAGTGACACTGGTGGTTGGAGAGGCTTATGCTAAATGTTCCAGACAGCTGATGCAACCACCTCTGCATCTGCCAGTTTGCAGCATGATGCTTCTAGAGCAGTGGGGCTGGCTGCCCTTACAGACTTGAAGGAGAAAGGCAAAAAAAAAAAAAAAAAAAAAAAAAAAAAAAGGTGGAGATCCACCACCACAGGAACTACTAACGTCAATTTTCCTGCAAACAACAGCTACCCGTGTACGACATTCACCATCGGGAGCTGGACCCTGGATGCGTTTTTAATCCAGTTTGTAAACTGCGAGGTGGCAGCTCACAAAGGTCCAACTCCACAGACAATGAGGATCCATCCGAGCCCAGCAGCCTCCTCAGTGCCGGGCTTGAAGGGGAATCACGGCCGCCCCCATCACAGCAGGAAGCACGCCCTGCCACCCCCCGAGATGTCAGCGCCCCCCCGGCCCTGCTGGGAGGGCGGCCGCGGGCAGCGGAGAGCCCCGGGACGGGGCCTGCGGCTGAAGTTTGGGGTCCTTGCCCCGCGTTCGCGGAGCCTGCGCTCGGCGAAGGCGGCGGGAGCGGCGCCCCGCAGAGCTCCGCTGTGCAGCGGGGTGGCCGAGGACGTGGGTTGGGAAGGAGGAGACACGCCGAGAGCCCTGGGGAAGAGGAGGAACCGCCGGCGGGAGGGGGAAGGCGAGAGGGAAGGGAGACGGGTCGGAGACGGCACAGTCGGGAGCGAGGAAAAGGGGTGGGGGCCCGGCGGGGAGCACGGCGGCCGCGGGCGGCCCGGGGGCTCCCGGGGCGGCGGCGGGCGGCAGGAAGGGGCTGCCGGCTCTTCCCTGTCTCCGTTCCCCGGTGCGACCTGACCGCCTCCCCCGGGCCGTGCCCCGCGTCGCGGAGCTCCGTCCGGGCTCGGCCCCGGCCCCGGTCCCGGCCCCGGTCCCGGCCAGCCGCCCTGCAGCGGGGCCAGCCCCAGCCCCAGCCCCAGCCCCAGCCCCGCCGCGCCGCCCGGCGTGCCGTACCCTACCTTCGCCTGCAGATACTGGGGGTAGTAGTAGGTGGTGTACTGGGGGTACATCTGCTGTTTCCACACTTTGCCCATGAAGCTGGAAATGTAGCCTGCAGTGCAGGGACGGGGGGGCACTTTGGGGGGCTCCAGCCGCCTCTCCGTCTCTCTCTCTCTCCTGTCTCGTCCTCTCCGGCGGCGGCGGCTGCTGCTGCTGCTGCTCCTCGGCCGATCCCAGACCTTCCTCCTCCTCCTCCTCCTCCACCCAAAAGCCACAGCGGAGCGGCGGCAGCGGGGGCAGGCACTCTCCCTCTCTCCCCGGGAGTGTCTGCCAAGTCCCCGCCCGGCCGGGGCCGAGCGGCGGCGGCGGGCCGGCTGGCGGAGCGGCGGCGCGGGGAGCGCTCGGGCCCGGCGCGGCGGCGGCGGCGGCGGGGCAGGGCTGGCGGAGGGAGGGAGGGAGGGAGGGAAGGAGGGAGGGAGGGAAGGAGGAGGGAAAGGGAGAGGGGGCGAGGGGCGGCGCTTAGCCCCGCTCGGCGCCCTCGGGGCGAGCCCCAGCCCCGGCCCCGGCCAGGCGGCCGGGCAGCCCCCGCGGGCAGGGGGGAGCTCGGCGGCGGCGGACGGCCCCGCTCGGCCCGGGGGCCGCTTCAGCGCCGGGAAAAACTGCGGTGCCCGGCGGGGAGCGGGGGGTTTCCACGTTCCGGAGGAGGAGGAGGAGGGCTGCAGCGGTCGCATCCGCAGACGGCTCGGCTCTGACCTAATTAGCCGGGTTGTGCTTTGTTATCGCCTTTGCTCTTTGTGCATCTCGTTGCCGAGCAGTGGTGCAGGGCGCAGGCTGTAGGGGAGAATTGGATACAATTTTTGGAAAACTACATTTGGCTTCGGTTCTGCCTGGCGGTGGAGGGTCCATTTATCTGCTAAGAGCAGAAGGGACTGCAGTGCTAAAATCAGTTTACAGAACAGCAACCACAAAACCAGACCAAATTCTCCATCTGGCCCATTGTGCATCCTTAAATTTGTACTTTCGCCAGCGGTGCTGAGTACACTTCATTCTCAAACAGGAAACATTCCAGTTCTAGTTGATAGTCGTTACAGTTTTTTTTCACTTGAATATTTTCTCTCTGAAAGGTAATTTCCGAAACATTAGAATTAGGGAACAGCAGCGTGCTATAATCCACTGTTATTTGTAAAAAACCCCACATAGCCCAGTGGGTTTACTTCTGACAAATGTGTCTCTCTTCTACCCAAAGACAAACTGATCCTCAGAGTATGAAGCAGATGCCATTTCTTTGTCACACTAAGCACAATCATTTTTGTCTCGCAGCACTGTTCTAGTAATAAAACATATATGTAAGGTCCACCAAAACTCCTGAGTGTATTAACATCAGCCAAGCGAAATGCGATAAGAGTGGAAAGAAACCTTTAAAAACTTAAGGGTTTACAAGCATCCCAGTGCAATAGCAAAGGCAGCTTTTGTACAGCCATGAATCCCTGGTGCAGGCTGAGCAATAAGAGGTAACTGCAGATATTCTTCCAAGTTCCAGCTGAGCAGAGGACAATTACGCAAATGACACTGCAGCTCTCCTGGCTAGCCATTAAGATTGCTTTACAAGTTTTTTCCAGGCAAGAAATTTGTATATGCTTTATGGTCCACACAGATTAAGAGACTAGTTGCATCTTTAGGAGACAGCTTTTTCTCCAGGAAGGCGTGGGAGCTTTTGAGTTTTGGTTAAGTTTGGGGGTTTTCATTTGGATGGCTTTGGGATTTTTTTTTTGGTTAACATGCAGCTAGAATAGCTATGAAAAGAAGAATGAACACAGAAAGCATATGTGTTGGTAATATTTCTGTGTCCATGATGGTAACTTTCTGTGAGAGGGACAAAGATTTAAGTTAGAGAAAAGTGAAGCAGAACAGAACTATCAGGTATTAGAGGGGGTTAAGAATGTGCATCTGGAAAAGCTGAAATGGCCATGGCCAAAATCAGCTGCCTTCTGTTGACTGTACTAGCATTTACACAGTGGAAAAAGCATACAGGCTGCAATTATATCTGAAGAACACAAGGTAATATGGCTCCAGGGCAGTGCATGGTCAGAGGATAGTAGAAATGACGTTTCAGAGTTTCATGGGGAAATGTGTTGCTACAGCCCAGATATGTGATGATACTGTTATAGACTGCTTTAAGAACTGCCAAACTGTGGTCTGAAGTTCTTGGTTGAGCTACAAAGAATGTGGTGCTGGCCTCTCTTAAACTGACAAGTTACGGGTGCTAGTACACTTAGTTTCCTTCTGAGAAAATCAGAACAAGCAAGAAGGAGAAATAAAGACTGGTAGCTGATGAATGGATTTTGTGGGGATTTTCCTGAGGAAAGAATGAGATCTGAAAGAAAACACATATTGTACTGAAGACAACTAGAAATAGAAGAATGATTTCCTAGAATCCATCTTCATGTAAACAGTTACTGCGGTTGTCACAAGTTGTGCAGTCACGGATGGGGAGCAAAGCACCCAGAAGAAAAAAATCTCTAGGAAATGAGGAGAGGGGAAATGCAGCCTTTATCATTCCAGCATTTACAACTGCAACAGTCTCCAGCTTAGTTGTGTCAAGTTACTGAGAATGGCTGATGGCTGCCAGCGAGAGGAGCAGCAATGCACTCTGCCACAACGGCTCCTGAAAGTGATGAAAGAAGAAATCTGGCTAAGAGAGTATTTGATTACAACAGCTAAAGCTGATCTCCAAGCTCCTTCCCAGTCTCTCCTTGCAGGGACTTAGAACTTTCCCAAATGAGGTCTCTTGCTCTAAAGCTTAATCTCATCCCCAAACATGCGTCACATAATGTAAGGACAAAACCAGTTTGGTTCCATTTTCAACCAGAATATTTTCTAATTAAAGATCTTCTTCCATTTGAGTATCTGCTCTAATTTATTTAGCAAAGCTGACATTGCAGAAGTTCAAAATTTAAAGAGTTTAATACTTACCATTGAATTTAAAAAATAAGCCTGCAACTTAATACTACAAACTTTTACAGTGCAGTGTTTCCACTGATGACTAATGAGAATTTGCAAATGATGCTCAATTTTTATTAACATGAGGTTTGAAAATATAATTATTTTATTGTAATCATTTACATGAACCTCCGTTACGGTAATTTTTTTCATTTTTTAAAGTGGTATTGAAGGTGTTTATTAAGAATGGATCAGTGAAGAATTCTCAGGCAAAAAAAGATCTTAATTTAGCATCACTCAGGGCAGTCTCTGCTTGTATCTTTTTAATATGATGAGTATTTAGCCAACTTAATAACATGAATGTAAGTTGTGCAAGACAGACAGGGTGGCATTGCAGAAGAAACTTTAAACCAAATGACTAATTTCTTAACTTTTCACACTGATGGTAATGTTTGTTTTTAATTGCTTATTCTATGTTCATAGCAAGGGCAAATAAACACTTTTAAATTGAAACTGCTTATGCTGTCTGGCAGTACTAACTCCTGCTGTCATAACTGAGTACTCAAAAGGTTAAAAATATTTCCCTCATTTATGCACTACCAAAAGTATAGGATTAAGAAGGAAGGTAAACACTGAAATGTGTTCTGAAGGATAATAGATACCCAACAGAGTAACAAAAATACTTTTTTGTTTTTTTATAAGCTGACTTCTTATATGCTGCACCAGTCCAATGTAGATACCGCAGCCTTGTGAATCTTAGGGAAATCAGTAATCCATAATTTTGTCCATGGCCAGATTTCACTGACTATTGATGGAACAATTTTTTTTTTTTTTTTTTACATTATTTCCTTATCATATTTTTACATTATTTCCTTATCATAGTTACAGTCTAACTGGTCAGGACTGAATAAAATATGATGAAAACACAGTTGGGCTGTTGCTGAGAAGCGCTGCATGTGCTGCCCTGTCAGAGGAGTTTTAAGGCAACTCAGTTAAACCCCATCAATAGTTATCCACTGACTCCAAGAACGTTGGAAGAAAAATTCCATTTAAATTTTACAGATTAATTTAGACATTAGGAGTTCTACCCTAAGGCAGAAAAAGTCAAATGCAGTGCAGAGTTGGAGGGAAATATATTTAATCCACCTCAAGCCAGGAACCAAGCGGCCTGCTGTACTCTGCACCACTTGGGGTGTTTGCACTGGTTTAAACTGAAAGACAGACATGTTTATGCTGCAATTGTTATTACTTTGACACAGTCAGGAATATTTGAACAAGGTTATATTATTTTTTCTGGTTAAGATACTTGCTTGAGTCTTGGGAGATCTTTGTCCAGTAGCAGATCTACCACAGAATGTGGGCGAGAAGGTGAACAAGTCACTGAATTACCCTGTGCCTTACTTCCCCAGTTTGCAAACTGTGTCAAACATTCACCCTCTTCTGTTCTTTGTCTGCCTTGTGTGGTCAGTCTGTAGGCAATGCAAGGCACCACAGTCATTTGCTAGGAATCTGCCTAGTGTGATTCACATGGAAAGACTAAAATAAATAGAAGCAGTGTCAGTGCATCACTTGTGGATGCAGAGAAGCCAGGTACTGCATCCTAATTCACACACAAATGTTAACAAACCAAAGATCTGTTTTATACCCTCAAACAGTGTGTTAGGGCTACAGAAATGCAACTAGGTTTAAGCTCTCAACCAATAACTTCTTTGCTCTTTCCCTCACCCCCAACACACACTGTTCCAATTACTTGCAAAACCTCCTTGTTGTAATGCCACCCTTAGCCCCATCATATGGCCTTGACTGCTTTGCAACACAAATGAAAGACTCTTCAATTCAGGTCGAAGTAGGCCACACTCTTAAGCACAAAGGCTAAATAAACGGCCATTGTTAATGGGCCACCAAGATGAAAAGCACTTGATTGTTTTCATCAATTAAATCGACTCTATAGATTTAGTGGCTATTAACCCTTTCAGCAAATTCTTAAATATTTATTCCAACATGGTGACTACAATTCTGTATTTTTACAGTAGCTCTCCTGGCATAACAATGCTTCACTGAAACATTGCTGCATGTGGCATGCCCTTGTTTATCCTTACAGCTGAGCCATATACTGCACTGGCTCAGCTGCTCCTGACAGCTGCAGTCAGTGTAATTCACTTTTGTAAAATCTACAGGGCTATACACTATCCTAAGATTGTCCAACTGAAGTATTTAACTGGCACTTACATATAGGAATTTAACATACTTCTGCATTTGGGCTTCCCCTCCCATGGAGTTCCATGTGCACCAGGCAATGCTTCCACTATTGGCAGTGGACATCAACAAAAGATGCAGTCGGACTGCTCATGAAAATGGTTTCTGCGTTTGCAGATAAACATATCACCATGAATTTGGGTACACTGATTGCCAGCAGTAACCTTTTATTCATGTTTTGATAAGTCTGAGATAATCATTTCCC